CGCAGACTTTGACCAGCTTCTAAAGGCCAACGACTCGCTGCTCGACTCGCAGGGTCAAGTTCAAAGTGAGGCATAAGGCATTACTTATATTAAAAGTGAGTAGGCTAAAGCTGATTTATGTACTGTTAATAAAGTTTTGCACTTAGCATCATCTTCAGCGACCTAGTACAAATAAGTTGTCAGTCAAACATTACTAATAGCCCCTAAAAAAACTAGTATATATATATATGCATATAATTGTTAATCTCCGTATTTCATTTACGATGATGATGGAATGGTAGATTAATATTGTGCGCAATGCTAACAGAAGGCCTCACATTTCCGTGGAATTTCGCATACCCTTGCCTTGCAAAAGATATTCTATTTCAAGGTCGAAACCTGAGTCCATATGAGAAAGGAAGCTGTGTGAAATTCAATGGCAAAGTGATGCTTGCTCATAGCATTGTGGGAAAAATTCAACCACAAGTCCTTCATCATGTTGAACTAAATAGAGTGAATATATAAAGTATTACTTATATTGTAATGAGCAATAGTAGAGTTCTTCCGACAATGGTATAGGTAGGCCTTAAAGATTAGGTACTAACACGACATTAAGCGACTTACTGGTATGATTGTGGGAAAATTCAACCATCAGTCCTTTATATATTTGATTTACTTGTAGTCTCAAAAGCCTACTTGCAGGCGAAACATAGCATGAGTAAGTTGTTAGTTATTCAAGCATTACTGATGGCCTTTACAAGTAGTCTCATCGGGAGAGGGAAACGGGCAATTGTTGACTTACACCGCAGACTTTGGCCAGCTTTGGAAGGCCGACGACTCGCTGCTCGGCCAGCAGAGCCAAGGCCAGGCAGACGGGTCGATATTGACTAGCCTCCAACGAGCAGAGGACGACCTCGAGACGAGCCATCAATCGGAGCCAGGCGCGTCGCCTTGCCTCGACGGCCGACGAGCTGCCGGCCGGGTTCGTGGTGTCCAGATCGTCGGTCTGGAAGAGGCAGAGAGACGCGGGGAAATATGGAGAGAAGGATGAGCGAATGGAACCAGTTGGGCCGGACAAGAGGCCGCAACCAGACTTCGAATAATCTCGAATGAACTCGAACAACTTCGACCTGCCTCGGCCACACAAACGCACAAAACAGCACCAGCCAGCGCTTGTGGCCCAGCAGAGTTGCATTGAAAATAGCCTCAGGTCGACTGCACTGCAATGACTCAGCCAAACTAGGATTTCACTGCGTACATTTGCCCTAAACCGCCTCCTGAAAGAAGAGATTTTACATGACCGTCTTAATTTACGCTTTAATCATTCATCAGAACAGACTATCGATCCTGCCTAAACGGCAGCCCCGTCTTAAATTAAGCGGCTATGCTTCATGCCTTGTCATCGATTTTGCCTCTAACATTCTCATGAAGCATATAACCGCACACGGTTCTTTTGAATTTGCTCCAAATCGATCTGACAGCCACTCTGAAAGCCGCTATTTCAACGTGAATACTTTTTGCGCAATCAGTACAAATTGTATGACTCGAAATTTGGCCAGATTCGAATGAAAATGCTCAGAAGAAATGTGCCTGCTGGCGCGCCACCCACAAAATGGGCCATATCTTATTCGTCAACTCTGACGTGTAACATTTCGCTGCTCACCATTTCCGACATGTCCTTAGTCCCAATTCGAAGATTGTGGTATATGGTATTGCACCGTTCACCGACTTTGGTGTAGGCGAAGTCTCTGTACTTCGCTTATGAAATGAACTATCCTTCAGTTTCTATCTTTGATCTATGCCATTGCTTCGTTCGTCGAACTTGGTGTGTTTTAATGCTCCGATTGTCGCCCCTGTTAAATATAGTTTCTGATGTGCTCCATTTTTACATTCATCATCTCTGGCCTCATCGATTTTTCCGTTTATCTACAATGATGTGAACAAATTGTACCTTCTTCACAACTAGCATATTCAATTTCTCAGTTGTTGTCTCTTATATGTAGCATATCATTTTTCGTAGAAGTTGACGTGTGCAAATTCTGCGATCGTCATCTCAGATCAAGATCATTTTTTTGTTATTCCTTTCTGTAGTATTCAATCTCTCTACGCGTTGTCTCTGACCTCTACCACTTTTACAATCATTGGCATCGAGGTGATCAGATTATGCTTTCTTCACCTTTGACGTATACAATTTCTCAGTTTGTTCTCTCTGATCTAAACCATTTTTCCATTCGTCGAAATTGGCGTGTGTAAACGCTCTAATCGATCCGTAGCCTGCTGGTGGTCATGATTCCTTTCTTATTGCTGAATTTTTCGTCCATGCGTCGATTTCACCGTTCCTATGCCTATATCTTTCAGCATATCAGGTAGGGTTCCATCGAGCTTCATAGTTGGGTCCTTCGGTATTACATTATGCGTTTACCAGATTAATAAAAGAGACAATCTTACAATGGAAGAAGTCGTTCGGGCGAATGAGAGACTCGAAAGAATATCGTTCACAAGGAAATCATATGCCGGAATTATAATCGATTTCTAGTCTCCTCACAATAACGGACTAAATGCAAGAAATAATGAGGAGTATGAAGTTCAGAAGTCTACGATTAATGGATGTAGAATTATGGGTTGAAGAATTAGGCAAACTGACTCGGATGTTCCTCTGCAACGGAAACCCGATAGAGGCAATAGAAAGAAGCATCCGGGCCATGCAAAGTCGATGGCTGGATCGGGATTATGAAAGAAAGTTAGGGATGGAGAAATGTATAAGAACTAGTTTTCAAATAATTCCTCAATAAATTCATCTTAGACAAAGTGAAAGGTTCTCCAACAAGGATGGAGAAAAACTCACAAAGGTTGATATGTCTACATTACTGCAAACGAACTCAAAAATCACGGCCAATATTAGGAAAATGGAATATTCAGGTGAGAACGAAGGAAAAAACAACAGGCTTCAGAAGTTTATCGATGCAACATCAAATGGAATTAAGGGCATAGTGTGCGTGGTTTCCAAACAGAAATATATTGGCGAAACAAGGGGAAAGGGCAGCATACGAATCAAAAAACATCAAAGGCTCTGCAAGAAAAATATACCAAAAGATCAGACCTTTCGCTGAGTAACAGTAGAATAAGGTCAAACTAATTAACAAAAAAGAATTTTAGTTTTTAATATTTTATAAAATTTGGTTCAGTCATGTTAGTCATGACTACTATTGCAGAGGAGGGCGAACCTGACAACACGACCAAGTTGAGAAAGCGAGGTTAAACGCTGTGTTTCACACGATTCTATGTGATATTCTGTATTAACCATGTGTTTGGCCAGTCCAAACTTTTGGATCTATGGCGGTCTTGTGCTCAGATCTCCACTTATGTATGTATGAGTTCTGAGGTGTCACGTGGTTATAAAGCCTATTAGTATCGTGATCTAGAAAGACGGTCCGAAAATTTGCTAAAGGTAGGCATAAGAAGGGAAATTTTTCCTTTCACATGAAGGTTTTTGATGTGAAAGTTGTGTTCTCCTTATTTAATTTATGTTTATGAAGAAATAGTCGTTGGATTTTCCCACAAACCTATGCTTCCTAAGGGCTGAGGTGGACTGAAGTTTCGACCTCGTCTAGGTCTCATCCGCACCGAAAGAAGACTCGAACCCTGGTAGGACAGCGAATAATCTCGACACGTTAGTCACTCTGCCACACTGCCACGAGTGCGCTTGGGTCAGAGGGCAGAAGTGGATTTCAAGAAGGCCTAGGCCTGGGCTCTCCTGGGCAAGGCGGAAATTTCAGTCCACTTCAGCCTGAAGGAGTATACCTTTTGAGAAGCATGGTTGTGTGAAATTCAATGGAAAAATAAGGCATACTCATACGATTGTGGGAAAATGCAACTATCAGTCCTTCATATTCTTGAAAGGAATAGGGCGAATACAGCTCTTATAATTGACGAAAGACTTAGTCTCGCTTTATGCATTAGTATGTTTTTGCTTTTCCTCATTAGTTGCCCTATCTTTTACGAAAATTGACAACACGCCAACATAAGAAGTCGAGTTGAGGAGTCTATCTCTTTGTCCTTTCCTAAATAGATATTTCCCCTCATTCTAGTTATGGGTATTGTAAAATTATCATCTATTAATATGCGGGGAAATGTTAGATTACAAGGAATCTTTTTGTTTATAATTGTTGAGCTCATTTCCCCTTCGAGTGAATTTGTGTGTCCTGAAGAGCTTCGATTGTTGATTCCACGAGAAGATTCTACCAGTTTTCGTTAATAATTTGTAAAATAATTATGTAGCATACGCGAATAAAAATGCATATGTTAAGGGTATATAAACAGTATGCAAGAATAAGCCGATGAGTTTGTATGATTCGCTAGCTTGAATATGGTTGTAGAAATTCCGTGTGTAAAGTGACAGACGAACACTCAACACATTTTCACCGGAATCGAATGAGATTGCCTCGGAAATGATATCGACAGGAATGTTCTGGCTGGCCAAGAGAAATCCGCCATCGCCTTCATATCTCTTCATCACACACACTTTCACTCAA